GATGTGTTGAGTCTCGATGCACGGCCATAAACCATGCCCACGAGCCATGATGCCAATCGACAAATACCATAATCCACAAGAATCGACTACGCTCGGATACCACCTAACGCAATATAAAATTTACTTGCAAACAACACCAGCAAAAATAACTGCGTTTAAGAGAGAAAAAATCGTGAACGAAATCATAAGAAAAAGAACAAAACGTACAGATACGAGTATTCTGACACGGGCCCATAAGCACAAGAGAGGAAAACACACCTACAAAAAGGCCTCACTCTCTCCAAAGAAAACAATTTCCTTATTAATCAAACTTCAATCTCCATCACAATATGCGTGCCTCCTCCTTTCATACATTTAAACTTTGCTTTTGAAAGATCCCTACAATATCCAATATAAGGAAAGGAATTATCCAAGCATCACAATCTCACATCCCACCTCTCCTCATAGTAAAAAGATAACTTCCTCCTAATAATTCCCTATTAAAAACAAAAAGTGATAACTAACTAAACTAAATCTATTTTAGATTCTTTCCAAAGTCTTTCTAAAATAAATCTTTATGTTCATAAAGATTTGCTTACTAAAAGGAAACCTCTTTTCCTACCCATGTTAATCTTAGGAAGCAAACTCAAGAATGTGATCTAAAGATTTGCTCCAAGATTTACTACAATATACTCTAAAACCTAACCACCTATTAAAATATAGATTGACTTTATCAAACAAAAGATTGTCTTGCCCAAAAATAAAATACAGACACCTCTTTAAAATATATAACTTTTATCAAAAAAATCCCTACTAATCCTATTTCTAAAAATTTATCCTAATAAATAAAAATAAAAAGTCTACCCAGTCTTAAAAATAAAAATAAAATTGAAATTTGTAGCCACCAGATTTTCATCTGCATCAGTTCTTTAGTTCCTAAATTGTTTGAGACTTCAAACCCTATTTGAATCTCTCTAACATGATAATAAGATCTCTCACTCTAACACGCCATAAGATCTCTTTGGCGCTCACGCCATATTTTTTTCTCACACGCTAAAAATAAAAAAAGGGCCTCTCTCCCTCACGCCAACATCTCTCTCTCTCTCCCATTTTTTCTCTCACACAATCCTCTCTCCTTATATTATGTGTGTGTTGTCACTCAAAGAAAATAAGAGACGAAAGATGGGATATGAAACGCTAAGTGGGGCGTTTGGTGATTTTTTAATGTAAAAAAAGGTACATGCAGCCAAAGAGAAATCAATACTTGAGTTCAACCCAAATTTGTTCCTCTAGAGCTTCTACAAGCCCTAGTAGAGTTTTTAAACTAGCCAAAACCCTAAAATAAAAGGTATTGCCAGTAAAGCTTCCCTATCTCAAAAATTTCAGCAAGACCTAAAAGACTAAAAGTACATCGGTCAGGGAATTGGGTTTAGGGTGTATCAAGACCTGTGAGTGTAACTCCATGCATCTTCTAGTAAGTCTTCCTAGCTGATTTAATGAATTTTCAGTCATTTTATATTTTTCTGTAAATTTTCAAGAATATACTTTGTACTTAAAATCATAGTGGAAGATTGTTTATTACTCCTAGATGGTTTTTATTTGATTTAGCAATAAAAGTAAAAAACTATAGGCTGTACCTCGGATATTAAATTGGATTTGCAGCAGCATAGAGTAGCTCATGTAAGTGGAATTCAATTATATTGGAAAAAGAAAAAGAAATTTTTTGAATTTAATGCCTTGAGTTTTATATAGACACTCTTATCAAATTTAAAAATCAGTTTTGGGTGTATAACTCAACCATGAAATCTATGATCCCAAATGATTCTTAAATAAATTGTAGATGAGCTTAATGACATGTAGTTAATGGGTGGGTCATGATGACTTGGAAAGAAAATTAAAAAGAAAAAACTAAAATAAAATGAATAAGACAGTGATTTTCGAAAATTGAATTCTTGTTTCGAAAATCGAATTGGAACAGTAAGTGTTGGACAGACATCTAAAGATATGAATTTTATAAAATCCAATAATCTTGCAAGCTCCACTAATTTTATGAAATCATGTCAACCTATGAGTTTTTCTTCCAATTAGTTTTTGAAATTATACCAGGTCAGAAGCATTCACTAGAAAGGAAAGCCATTTTATGTTTTTTGGAGGGGAGAGGATGAGCCTTTCGGAAGTGCATCAAGGTTGCTCATGAAAGGAGAATGGCTCAAGGTATTAAATTTAAAAACAAAAAAACTTTTATTCAATATACCTAAATCTGAATTCCAATTCTATGGGCCACTATATACTGTTGTAATCAAGATTAATACCCTAGACACAACCTAGGATCTGCCACAGCAAATGAAAACCATCCAGGAATACTAACCAATCTTCCATTATGATTTTAAGTACAAGTTCATGAAAATTCACAAAAGAGAATGAAATACAACTGAAAATTAATAAAATCAGTTGGAAGGACTTAATAGAAGATCCCCGAAGTTACCCTCACAGGTCTTAATACATCCCACACCCGATTCCCTAATTGATGACGAACTTTTGGTCCTTTAGGTGTTGCTGGAATTTCTGAGATAGAGAACGCTTTACAGGCAATAGCTTTCATTCTAGGGTTTTGGAGAGCTCAAAAACTTAATTAGGATTTGTAGAAACCCTATAGGGACAGATTACGGCTAATTTTGAGTGTTGGTGCCTCTCTAGGCTGCATGTATGTCTCTCTCCTTCAAAAATCAGGAAACCCTAGTCCTAGGGTTTCATGTGCCACCACCTACTTTTTTAGGACTACGATCCTCTTTTTTTTAAGGACTACAATCCTCTTTTTTTTTTAATCTGTACATCATGAGGTCAAGGTGATCAATTGTAGGGTTTTCAACCTCAAAACAGCCTTTTCCGGTGGATTTTTGAGGTGCAACTTACTTCTATAGTATAAGGTTGAACATTACGTGAACTTTTCATTTTGCAAAACATCTTCAATTCACAGAAACAAATCCAGGAAAAAAAAAAGGTGATTTGAGGTACTTAAAAACTTGGAGATGATCGTCCATCCAATGGATGGTCTATCGCACAATTGAAACAGACATTCATTTGGACAATTTTTGGGCACGAAATCTTTTTTCTTCCAAGCATTGAATCTCCCTGGTATATTTTTAGCTGAGGGAATATACACATTTTGCTCCCACTAGAGCACCAAATATTGGCATAAAAAGACAGGACAAGCAAGCCTAGTTCATTACTAAATTTTTTAATACGTAATTATATTAATATATGTAGAATTTAGTATATGCCTCGATAATTTGCAAGTGCCTAGATATAGACAGGTTGATACCCTAGGCCCTTGCACCATACAGTGTCGTGTCTAACACGTTTGCAGGAGCCCCGCAGATATAGACACGCATTTCTGTCCATTTATCACAGCAATGCACAGTCCATAGACCCATGTTGCCAACCATCCATCGAATTGTTTCCCTTTCTAGGCCATGGGAAATCCACAACAACTAATTCACGTCTTACAATCTAAGGTCCCCACAAGATACCCGGTTGAACATATCATTCAAGAGGAGCCAGTTGGACTACAATATGGACCCTCTCATGCTCACCAGCTAAAAAAAAGATTTTCATATCCAGCAAAGGGGACTCAATAACCAACAGTAAGGAAAACTCCAACACTCAGCACCTAGGCTGAACTCACCCACTTTTTTTTTTTAATCAACCTTTGCTGAACTCACCCACTTGAGAGAGAGCCTATCACCAATCACATATCCACATGCATGTTCAACCTTCAAATGACCTTCTCTTTGGAACCAACTCTAATGAAAACAACTTGCGTTATCTTCCTTCTGAAACCCCTGTAAACAAGGAATGTGGTACGAAGCTTCCCTCTAGTTCATCACTTGTTTTTCTTTCTTTGTTGCTAAGTTCATATTTTCAGGTTATACCTAGACACACTCCAACCCCTCTTGAACTGGGTCCTGAATCCTCAAATGGTCCTATTTTTTTTTTTTGAGAAGTCAAATGGTCCCATATATTGTTCGCAACAGGCTATTATTGTACACATGGGAAACCAGCAAAAAGACATCCCAGTTCAATCCACTCCCACACACAGCCCAACCACCCTATGTGACATACACGCACACACATTCCCACCGATACTGCTGATTAGATCACCTTTCTAGTAGCACTTCCATGAATTAGAGAAGACAGGGAGCGGTTCAACATTTTTAAAATTATCATGTTCACAGCCATCATTGAGCTAGTTCAACTTTCCAAGAGATATGACAGAGTACATAATTTTGTCATTGACAAGTTAAAAGATAAGTCTACAGCCATAAGCAGTCATTATAATACCATTTACAAGAAATTCTCAAAAGGTAAAACAAGCAGACTACTACAGTGGTTGGCCCTCTCCCATTCTGAAGGCCTTGGGACATTTGTTTCACCCAGAATTCGGCACACATTCCCTTGGACTTGGCAAAGAAGCCCACCTAAAATTTCGCTAAAACACAACAAATTAGCTTTTTTGAACTCAGTAAGCTCAATCCATCCATTTCATTGGTGGTTAGATCTAGTCCTTTAAGAATTGAAAATCAATTTTTCTTTGTTTTAAATGGTTCATCTAGTGATGATGAGGCAATCTACAAAAGTATGGGTCAAGCAAACCCCATAAGGGCCTCGATCTAAAACCGTTTTCTCCTTTCCTAAAATGGTTGGCCCATATTCACCGAATTTTCTCTCTCAAAAAAAATTTCAGTGTTATTTTCCTTTCTTTTTTTCAGAAACTTCTACACCGGGTCCAAGTGAATGTGTGCCATATTTGGGGTGAAACAAATGCCCCTAAAGCCTTCGAAATGGGAGAGGCAGACACTATACCAGTCTTCCCTTGGGCGAACCCAATGTTCCCCCATCCTCAAATAGATTAACTAAATTATTGTGTTGCTTGTGTAGGAATGTCCAAAGCCATTCCAGTCACAAATAAAGAAGAAAACATTTCAAACAATTATACTATCAGGAATGAGGAGTGTGCTTACAATGTAAGACCGCATTCTTTGAAGCATCAAATTCCCTCGTGAGAAGTCTCCTTCAACAGGCACTACCTCGACATTCTTTTGATGAACATGAAGCTCAGAATCGAGAGCAGTCAAAATAATGACATTGCTTCTGGGCATTGACACCTACAAAATTCTACATATGAGAAGGTAAAGTCAAACAATGTCACAATACAAATTCAGAAATAATCACATGAAAAATATTTTACAGCTTTATGAATTGAAAACAGTATCCTATGAAACAAAAGTTTTCAACAAGCATATTTTAAAAGTAACATCTTAAAAAAATATTAATCGCAGGCATGCCTATAATTTTGTCTGGAAATAAGTAAATATCAAGAAACACTTACAACGGATATGGACAATAAATTGATCAATGTGACCGCAAATAGCCTAAGAAAAATCACATTAGGACAAGTGGATTATGAACATTCACATGAGAAATTTGGGTGGAAAAAGTGCTACCACAAGTGAAGTTACAAAAATTAAGAGAAAAATGTTGTTAGTTAGGCTTCATCAGGTAAACTTGACATAACCAAACAGAACAAGCATTTGCCTCATCTATAGACATGATTAGGTTCCAAGACATCCTTATGATCAAAATTCATTTTAATTCATCCCAATGGAAGTAAATACATTTTTGTAGGCACTAGTCAAGGATATTTATACCTCGATGAACTTGATAAAGGCATTCAAAAGAGCCAAAGAACGTCCTGGCTTATCATAGGCAGCATTGCCTACAATCACAATATCTGAACTCTTGCGATGATCAGGTGATCCAAACCCAGGGGAATTATTGTACAATGAGAACACAGTAACAAAAGAGGTACTTTCATGGATATCATGCATTGGAGAAAATGTTGAAAACGGTGTCCAATTTATTGCTTTGTGACCTGCATATTCACAAACAATTCCTTATAAATGGGAAAAGTAAACAACATGCTCAATAATAAACTCCAAGAAATATTAATGAGGAATTGAAGAAAGGAAATACCGTCTAGCTATAAAATATATGCAAGAACTAATTCAAAGTATTGAGCAAAATTAGATAAGTAGCAAGGAACAGTTGTATTGAAATTCAATGGTTGAGAAAGTAGAGCATGATACAACTTATAATGTTGAATAAACAAAAGAAATGTCCACAAAAAATATGCAGGCAAATTTGATCTTCTGAACAATAATTTTAATCAAATATTGCAAGAAACCCAACTCCACCACCCTTCATGCACAGCAAGCATGCACCCTCACATGCCCTTTATAGTCCTTTATCTCCTTCACAAAAACAAGATGTAATCATCTCCAACAATTCCATTTATTCAAAAAATCCACCCCCCCCCCCTGCCCCACCCCGATGGAAAGAATCTAAGTACCACTAACATATTCTGGTCCTCTGGTCCCCAATCTATGCCCCCACACGAAATGCTAGGAAATTGGATCACCATTTGGGAGTAGGTTGGTTTCCTTAAGTTTGAATACTAAACAGTATATAAGCAATATTCAGCAGTCACGAGCAAAGAAATCAGACATTTCCATGAGTGAACATCATTTTGTAGCTGCACTAGCAGATTCTATCAAAATTAATAAGTTACGAGCCAAAATGTCACTTTTACCTATGTTTCTAAATTTATAGGATGCCCATCAAGCGCAACATTAGTAAACTGATAGAAAGAAACAACCAAAAACTGCAAAGACATTTTTGTTAACAACACAACCAAAATGCATCTAAGCAATGAATTTAAATATTCACCTCCCTAATATAGGGCATTATAATGAGAGTATTTTTTTATGAAAAAAAGGCAATATCATGAGTACAAGTATACAATTAAAAAAGAAAGAGATAAGCAGAATAGGTTGTCATAAGATATATCAGGAGTAAAGGAAACCCAACAAAATACTCCTCCGATTTCCCCAAACTGATGAAATGACATAAAACATTACCATATGTAGATTTCTATTCTAAAGAAGCATTAACATAACTAGTAAGTTACAGATGTTTATGTATATGTTTGCTTTTAAGATATCGTCGACAAAAGAGACCATTTACCTTTTGTACAAGATAGTCACAACCAGTCTTATCCCTTAAATTTCAAAATGGGTGGTTGCAAGAGTGTCATTGAATAGATACGAAGTTCCAAACAAAAATTCTTAGCCTTTATAACTCACCCAAAGCCATCCAATTTGACATCTAATGAGTGACAATAGTTGTGACCTCCTTGTAATAAAGATAAATGGTATCATTGAGGATAATCTCTTCTTTTAAATGTGATTTACAAGCAAATCAAACGAGTCATTTAATAATCAGTAAGCTTCCCTTGAGTACGGAAGACTCAAGCTAACCAACAGGAGAAAAGATAAATAATGAGAAAAAGAGCACTATTGTCAACAAACATCAAGCTCAGAAAATAACTGGACAGTTAACTACCCAAAAAATAATGATTTGCTTCTATATGTTATAATGCAATGAATCAGCAAATAAATGCTAATAAAAAATTAGATTTGGCCAGCATAAGCATGAGGTAGAGTCCTTTAATTATTACATCTATGCCACACAGATATCCATTCATCAAACACTAAACAAAGATATCCATTGGTCAAACACCAAAAGCACTGTGCAAGATCCTAGTGCCATGAAATAATCAACATAATAATCAGGATGAAAAAGTCTCAGAACTGACTACAAAAATTGTGAGGTAAAATGTCCCATAAGATATAGAAACAACAGAACTTCACATATGACCATCATTGATTCAATGAATCCATAGTCCAACTATGTGTTGCTCAGACTTTAGTCCAATGGTAGACGTTCAGTTTACATGGTGGGCATCACTTGTTCGAACATTGAGTTTAACCCAAAAAAACAAATGCAGACCTAGGCTTCTATTTTAATTGCATCCAATATAAGTCACAATCAAGCTAAAACCCAATGTCCACAATCCGAGTTTTAAAACCGAAAAATGAAAGTGATTTTTTTCATTTCCATCTCAAATGAGATCCAATGTCCACAATTAGTGTTTTAAAACCCAAAACTGGGTCTAGACTTAAAGAGGGTTTGGCTGAGTCAGCTCAAAAAGTCTTGAGTCCATGCAGTGATTCTACCGTCCCTAAAAGAGATGGAAAAAATCAGAAAAAATTCCTAAAAAATTGAAAAATACAAAACATAAGGCAAATAAAACAAGTCAAAATAGTTACATGTATACGGAGAAAAAAATAGAAAGCATATTGACCATAGTTGTTGGGTATGGGAATGGGAACGGTTCCTGGATCGGGGGCTGGAATGGCATATCGAAGTTGTACTGAAGATCCATGTGTTTGGGATCGATACCTGGACAGCCTCAAAGGTAGGGATCGAGGTCCATGTGTATTGGGGATCGAGCTCCTTTATTACATAGGATTGAGAATTGTTATATAAAGGTGCAAGATCCTATATGTAAAAAGCGAAGTTCCCAAGGACATTTTGTTCAGTTTCTTAACTCAGGGAGCACATTATTAAAAGTGATCCAAAATATTATGGAGCGAGGAATAACTTTTATAGGAGTAAGCTCCATTTTCTTAGAACACGAGTTCCTCATGTAGGTAATGAGGATCCATGGTCTGTGCCTTTAAAATGTAGCTCTCGGCATTAACCAATAACATGTAGGCTTAGTCCTTTTATAAAATAAATAAGGAACTTTAAAGTGATCCCATATTGGTGGGATCTGGATGCCATATATGGCGATGCTTGTGTTCCATTACTTTAGAATCTAGGTCCCAATGCACTCTGGAGCGCGAACCATAAGACTAGGGAACTAGATCCTATAATGTTAAAGAACACGAAATTAAATTGTAAGGAACTTGTGTTATATAAGATGGAGCGAGATCCCAAAAACACTAAATTGAGTTTCAGACAAGATCCGCTCCGGCATCGAGAGAATCGAGGTTTTGCAAGGGATCTCCAAGCTAGAGAGAAGATCCTAATAACTATGGTATTGACACTATTTAAACAATATCTAGCCTGACTCAAAATTTGACATACATTCAAAGGTCATAGTTATTGGAATCAAAAGCAAATCAGGGGCAGGACAAGGATCATGAAAGGCTAGAAGATCCATATGGTTGGAAGCATTGTCCATATAATGCATATTTAAAAATCGAGATCCCTAAATGTTAAGGATTTCAATCCCAAACTTTTGGGATCTTGCTCCTAAACATAAAAAGAATGTATAGTCTAGTACTATACATACTCTTTAAAGTAGGGATCCTTTTGTTTACGGCCAACAAGAAATGAAACTATATTATAAGTGTACTTGCATCGCTATCTGGCTTAAAAATTATGATTTTGGTCTTTATCTTAGTCTTTCAGGTGGGGATCAAGATCTTGAACAGTAGGGATCAAGATCCTCAATAGCGAGGATCGAGATGCCAAAATTTAGAAGTCCAGATCCTTCAAAGACCTCTTTTTCGGGCCCTCTTTTTAGAAGTCCAGATCCAGATTCTTCAAAGATCCTTCAAAGACCTCAACACCTAGATTGGGAGAACCCAGCAACTATGGTCTAAATTGGAGTAGAAGGAAACACTCACATTCATAGGAGCATAAAAATTATAAATATACATTCAAAGAGAGTTAAACTTCAGCCAATATGAATGACTCAACTACACCCAATATGAACGACAAGAAGTATCATAGTCACCCAAATTATGGTCTCCTACTCTCTCTGTAACGGTTCAGGAATAACTCTTATGGTTATGCAACTTTCGTAGCACCTCTGAACCCAAAATTCTCAAAAAGATAGTCAAATCCTCATGCTTGCTGCCACTGAACTGCAAATACTTGCTCCCATGGCCCTTCTATCATCAGTGTCTGCTTTAGTGGCCTCATCATTATCATCTTCCCTAGCTCCTCAATGTACACTGCAACTTATGCATTTTCCGTCCCACTTTCCTCTCCTTTCTTGTAAGTGCGCCAACTCTTCTTCGACGACCCTCTTATTGAGAACTGGCTACTCCACTTTCACCAAAGATATGATCCCAATTGTAAGGCCATGGTGCCCAACGTCCCTCCTCAACTGATGCTTTCATAGATTTAAATTGTAATTGATGTGGACTAGCTTGGTTACAAATAGCATGTTTCTCCTTGGCATGTGAATCCATTGGTATGTACCTATGTTCAAAAAGTCGGCCACCCCAACATGGGAGGCCTCACCGCCCGACCCAATGGCTATACGACCTAGTGCACGGCAGCCTAGTCTCACCCGCTCAGCTGCCTAGTCACCCGACCCAAGGGCTTATAAAGGAACTATAACGCTGGTCTCGAAGAAGCTAGAGTCTAGAAATGTAAGGAAAATTAAGAATAGCTAGACTCCTAACCAAGTTAAATCTAAAAAGACTTGTACAATATAATACTTTTGGTATAAGGAGGTCACAATCATCGACAACTGTTAGATATGGAATATGACATCTTAGGGCGTGTAACAAAAAGAAAAAAATTTGACTTTGAGCTATTCAATGAGACAACCCATCTGCCACATATCAAATCCAATGGCCAAAGTTCACAATGAACTCCTTGAACGAAGGATAAATGGTCATGTTGTACACTTTTCCAACATGAACATCATGTAAGCCAGTAGTTGAGTAACTAAATTTGGGTTTCAATGGCGGAGATAGGTCAATTTTTGGAGGAGAGATTACTCAAATCTTTTTGCAAAGAAAGTGATTTTACGGATTGGGAAAATGTCCTCTAGGGCATACAACCTTATTTTCTTTGTTTGTTGTGGCACACCCACCTTCATTTCCTACCCTATGAGCTACACAGCCTTTGTTTCTATATGTGGTGAGGCAGACCCATCTTCACTCCTTTCTTCACCAACATTTGATCACCTCGTAGGCCCCGCCTCCATCCTTTGTAGCCAGATACAAGCCCTGTCTATCTTATGTTCCCCCTCATGATCAAAGCCAGCCATCTAACCTTCTTTACTTCATCCCATCACAACCTACAAAACAATAACACCGTCCAAACCCTAAATACACTAGTTTGATATCAACCTTACCTACATACCTAATTTTGAAGACTTTAAACCCTAATTCTAACCTCATATAGCCCTTACAGAATCATCTACCTTCCTAGACAGACAAAATCCAGCAAGGTTTACCCCTTCATGAACCTACCATCTACCCTAAAATTGCCCTAACCCAACCAAACCCTTCCACATAACCCTAACCCTAACAGTACCTCATCTAAACGTTGTATTATGAAGGCCCCTCCGTCTTTAATCTTTGTAGAACTCCAAATCTCTTTAGGACTCCTATTCCCAGCAGGAACCCTAACCCACTTAGGACTCATAACCAAATTAGGAATCCCAACCCACATAGGAATTCCAATTTTGTTAGAAATCATCATCCAAGATGGACTTCCCATCCAAGATCAATTATCTGATCCTGTCTCCTCAAAATCCCACTAGGAGGTAACCCCCTTGTTCCTCCATCAATAAAAATCTAGCTGGGAATGGGCATGGCATCTGATTGTCAGGAAACTTGTAATTATGCTAGTAAACATTCTCTCAAACCAGGATGGATACGGTTGTAACTTGCAATTATTCTAGTAAACATTATTTTAAACTATGATGGATAGGGTCATCACATTAAGGGCAAGTCCATTGGGAATGAGAGGGTATACCAACTTTCACTCTATTGAACACAACATTCTTTAAAGTGAAGAAGAATGTGCTCCATGTGTACATGGATATCAAATTTACATGGATTTTAGTTTCAGAGATGGAATAGTAGGATGCCAATTATAAAGTAAATCACCTAGCAACAGTTGGGCAATGCCTATATTTTAAACAAAGAAAAATGTGCTTCATGTGTACACGGATATCAAATTTACATGGATCTTAGTTTCAGACATGAGGAATATTAGAATGCCAATTAGAAGGTAAATCACCTACCAACAGTTGGGTAAATGCCTAGACCAATACACAATACTTACATTGAGCACATTGCACATACAAAGTACATTACTTTAATTCAGAAAGACAATATTATGTAGGCGCAGACTGAAGCAGAGAGATTCTGCATAAACATTTGTGAAAAAAATGCAAAGTAATGAATTTTCACAACAGAAGATACATAAAGATCAAAAAAAGGATAGTTTCACGACAATAATAGTTTCACGACAATAAGCAAACTTTATGAGTTTACCAGAAGAATATCAGTGAGAGGAATAATAATAATATGAGCTGTGAAACCCATTTAAACTTATTTCATGAAATTTTCTTTAAATCAAACAAAGTTAAGCACGTGCCAATTGCCTAAGCCAATCGAAATCTCCTAAAACACAAATCGAAATCCCCTAAAACACACATAAACAATTACAGAATTGCCGCAACCCAGGTTTTATATTATTAATAATCAAGGAGATTGATGTTATTAATGTCACATGCAGCCTGCTTTAAACTGATTTCTATGGGAAATCCGAAACAACGTGAAAACAAGGTAAAGGTACCCAGAGAAGAAAACCACATCATGCCCATTAAAAACCTTCTAATAAAGAAAAAGAACATAATCTATCCATAAGCATAGTCAAGTGGTTTCAATCGTATTGAGGGACCTAATTTTATAATTTAATTTACCCATATTACAGACTAATTTTCATTCTTAAACGGCATAAATATTATGTCTTCAATTGCACATGCATTGCCAGTGCAAACTAGTACATCATTTTGTTTTATATTTTCATGTTATTTAGTATATTGTTTTTTTAATGTAATCATTGTAAAGTTATACACAATTCAAATATAAGGGTTTATTCACTCTCAAGCTTGTCAGAGTTGAAGTCATTCTTCAAGTAGCGAACAATACTCTATTCTTCTTTTATATGCAAGGCCTGTTACTGTATGTTTTTTGCTCATTTAAGGACCCTATGGTCTTGTAAGAAAAGGCCTCAAATTTGTGAAATGGACGTAGGGATCTATTCAAATGACATTTGGGGGTCGAGAAAATGTTCACTGAGATTCGGTATCAGTGCTGGAGGCCAGGGTTAAGGCCAACAGCCCAGCTAAGCTCAAGTTTCCTCATCCAAATTGTTGAGAGAGGTGTAAGTTACTTGGGTGAGAAATGTAAGTGTAACAGTGTAAATGACAACACACAAATAACAAAGAGATATCAAATACCATATTTTCCCAATAGAGACATCTGAACTCAACTATCCAACAAACAAATTGCTGCATCTAACATTTGCTTTGGAAGGTATGGAGAATTTATATCTAGATTCATGAAGAGATCCATAATGTATGACTGAAGATCAGAGCTCATTGTTTCAACAAAGAAAGGAATAACAAAGCAAAGAAAGTAAAGAGTAGGTAGAAAGGACTGATCATCTAAGTCAAGCTTCAATCAAACTTGGTGAAATCCACTTGTAAAATTATTAACATAACTAGCATGGCAAATTAAGAACCTTGGCCCTGTAATCCATATTGGAACAATGAGATAATCCTAGTCCCAATGGCAATCATTCCCATATTATTACAAAGAGAAAACGCAAGCCCAAATCATGTAATGGTAAAATAAGAGGCATAAGCTTGAATTCCCAACAGAAACAGGTTACTAAAAAAACGGAAAAAAAGGACCACAGTACATGCTCTGAAATGAGTATATTTTATTGAAGTATATGAACATTTTTGTGTGAATAATCACATATTGAGAATTGAATCAACTTTCATCAATCAGCACCAAAAACTAGCTAAAAACCTGCTCATATTAGCCTGAAAATTTGAATAGTAAGTATGCCAAAAGATGAATAATGAGTTGAAAAAAGCTTTGAAGATGATGATGATGAAGTATGCCAAAAAAGAGAACAATATTGGATACACAAAAACATGAACCTGAGAAAAAAGCAACCAACTCATTTACCAAAAAGTGAACAAAAATTAGAAGAAACAGATAACAGAGAAGCAGAGTGGTAATACGAACCTTGACATTGCACACGATTGGGAAGGCCTCGTCCAGCAGCTGGGCCAAGGACGAGATGATCAAATTTCTTGGGATTTGAGGGCGATGAGACCACATTTGCAGTATGCAAATGCGTTAACTCCATGACTGCAACTCAAAAAAAATCTCGATCGCTTCCCCAACAAGTAGATAAAATAAACAAATATAAATCCCCTTATAGAGGGAGGGAGGGAGAGAGAAACGGCGTGATTTCAAGTTACCTGAGAAGAGAAGAGGCAGAGAGAGAAGGAGAGGCAGATAGAGAAGACATCTCCGCCATCTGGAAATGGCCATTCCAGTTGCATGTTAAACTTTTTGGCGCAGAGGGGGAAAAGCTGTGAGCGTCTCTATCGATGCACTTCTAAATCAGCGTTTCAAAAAACTTGCAATGAAGTTATCAAAGAGAAACTTACTGGGGCTGGTTAACCTCAAATGACAAGAAAAAAATATTGAAATAAAAAGTCCGAACCGTTTGGATAACCTCATAAAAAGTTATAATTCATCCAAAAAGATATCACTTTACCTTCAAAACCACGAGTTAAAAACTATTCAAGTCAGACTCAAATCTTTTCGGCTTAAGTCGTGTCTCTCTTCAAATTTTACCCTCTCGCGGCTCTCTCTCTCTAACCCTCACGCTCTTCCCACTCCTTCCTGCTTTTCCCTCATCTCCTTACACGCCTCTCTCTCTAATCCTCTCAAAGCTCCTCAAATCTCTGTAAGAAAAAAACGAGCTGGTTTTTCTTGGTTTTGAGAATCCTCAAGATCATCAAATCTCTGTGAAGAAAACGTGCTGGTTTTTCTTTTCATTTGTCGTCTAGATTTACCTAAATATTTGGGTTTTTAAGAATCTCTGATCAAAACCACCCGGTCAGACGAGATTGACCTGAATATTTGGGTTTTCAAGAATCGCTGATCAAACGAGGTGGTTTTTCTTTTCCTCTTCCATTTAGGAATACATCAGTTTTTTCTTTCTTTTTGGGTGGACGAGAAGAAAACCACCGGGACATCAAATCTCTGTAAATTTACAGTTGGGTTTCCTTCTTTGCATATGAAGTGACCAGGGTTGGGTTCTTGAGATTCTTGAAGCTCATCAAATCTCTATAGTGAATTTGGTTAGGTTTTCTTTTACTCTATGGCATTAGTTTCTCTATGAGGAGAACTCTGCATTTCTTGGCTATAACTGATCAATCCGGCTTGGGTTTGATGGTTGGAGAAGTTAGTTTTTAGGGTTTTGAGGATTGAGCTTGAAATGGGTAGCAGGAAAGCAAGGTGGACGATCTCTCTGAAGTTTCTTTTCAGCCATTGAAGTTTCGATGAGAATGGCCATTGGAGTTCCAGTACCCCATCTGCATGGCTCCAATGGTTGACCCAATCATTGTTTCTTCTGGACCGACCTTTGAGAGGAGATGCATCGAGGCCTATAAGGAAATGGGAGCCATGGCCATGACCTCCACCCAATTAGACGTTTCAGCCCTCATCCCTAATCTTGCCCTCAAAACTGTCATTTCCAACTGGTGTGATGAATGGGGCTCGAAGAAGCCTAATACCCCTGATCCCAAAACTGCCAAGAGAGTAATTTCGAGAAATCAACAAAATTAGACCTCCAAACATATTATCAACATAATAAAATAAGCTGAGAATGTTTTTCAATTGAGGTGGAAAAAATTCGTATCTTTTTTGCCGTAAATATTTTTTTATTTGACATCCAAATTGGCCCCTAACTATCATAATTTATTGGGAGTTGATTAACCTTAAAAAGTCGAACTAAAGGTATCTCTAAATCTTAGATAATTTGGAAATTAAAAAACTTTGCATAGCCTACTTACCTATTTGATAGGAGATAAATCTTTATTACCGTTGATTATAGAATTTAAGGCCTCATAAGTGGCGTAAATTAAGTAGATCTGTAAACCTGGTTTGGGTCCCTGGATACGTAAACCCTCGATATGCATCAAAACCTGGTTATGTAGATTCTAGTATATGTAAAGGGTGTAGTTTGCATACGGATGCCTCCATATGTGTAGAAGTACAGTGCCCTTCAAAATTTAATCATGGTATATATTTTTGTTTCATATTTTTGATGTGAAATATTCTTAAGATTATCTCAAAATCTATTTTTATATCTAATTATAAAATATTAAATTTAAAAAATGGTTAAAATCAAATAGATCTATAAACCTTTGAAAATTTTGAAAATAGATGGTGTAGATAATATGTTACAAAATGCACTATTTCTAAGACTTAAAATCTTTTTATTTTTTATAGTCATACATCTCGATGTCAACATGATCAATCAAAGGGCTTTTCAACATTAAAACTACCTTTTCCGATGGATTTTAGAGAAGCATCCATAGTTCTACATTATAAGGTAGCATCCTTATATAAACCTTTTCCATATGTAAAACCTAATTTTGAAAACAATGTTATATGCCTAGTGTTGGAAGAACCCAATAAGTGAAAAATAATGTAGTCGGTTCCATCAAGATGAAAATCAAGTTTTGGTTGTTTGTTGTTAAAACAATTTAGCCATTCATTCCATAGGTTGATAATTCCATAGTAATGTATAGCCAATCAAAAAGATTTTTTGGGAAGAAGTTATCAACAATATAACACGCAAATTAGACGGATCGGATAATCTTTTTTTATCATTTTATAGGTCAATTTATCCCTCCCTCTCTCTCTCTCTCTCTCTCTTTCTCTCTCTCCATGACCCGTAATAAATTTTTCTCAAATTACATCATATTCATAATATTACATCGCATTAGATTATGAAAAATTAAATATAGAATCCCAAGAATTCCAAAATTACACTTCACATAGGTTCTTTTTTAGACTTATGATCATAATGAAATTAAATTGTTGCATAGGCTACTTTGTTCCATGTCCTCTGCAAAAACTTGATCCATGAGTTGCATAGGAGGTACAACAATGTCAAACCTCTTCCTTTCAACTTCATTAGTCTATACACATGCAAATAGTAATGGTTCAATAGGGATACCAACATGTGGGTTTTTCAAAACAAAAATTACATCATATTTGAAAATTACCTAAACATATTCCTCTTAACTGGCCTAGTTATCTTCTTAGTACCTTCATCAAATCAGAAACTAAACCGATGAAGGAGTTGTGGAATATTTCTATAAGTACACCTCAAATATTTAACTTTGTTTTCTAACCTCTATGGTAAATTCAGGTCCATACTCCTCACACATGACGAAGGATATTTCTCTCCAATCCTTCTTTCGCAGGTTCATAGTATCCATTTCTACCATGCTCTCGAACAAAGTTTTCTCATATTTGGGAGCCCATATGACATGCCTTATTGCTTTGCCATTTGGTAGAGTAACATGGACAACAACCATCCTGGTTTCTAAAAGGATATACATGAAACTCATTGAAATACCCATAAGTAACTAGTCAAACAATTTAGACAACAAATGCATAAATGTAGAAGTTCGAACAAATATACTTGAAATGTAACATGATAGGCAGTTTATTATCAATCTAAGAGTGGAAATCGAAAATTAAACATCGAAATATCACAATTTTATGGAAATATAATTTCACAGTTACTCATTTTACAAGAATAGATAAAATTTATAGCGTCTAAAATTCATAAACAGACAAAAAATACAATTAAATGCAAAAAATGCGTGAATCTTACCGTATTGGCAATATTACAATTAATTGCAGAAATATCAATTTTTCACATAATGATTTTACCGAAAATGACGTCACTACACATAAATTTTACAGTGTCCAAAATTCATAACAGTAGACTGAACTATTTCTAATAATTTATAATGTCAAAAAGTTCTAACAATTGTTTGAACACATTTTTCAGCACCTTGGTCCTTGATGCGGAATAACAAGGAAGCAGACCAATAAAGCCTAGAAAGTAAGTGGAAATTTTGACAGTCTCATAATTACCCCAAAATTGGTCAAGAGCTTCATTAACACTTCAAAAGGCCACTTGCCAAGTTTCATCACAATCAAACATGTCTAAGGCAATAAACACAAAGAAACAATTTCGGAAAAATTGGCCTCTAGCACCTTGAAATGGACCATGTAACTAGACCTATATTTTTAGTAAATCAGACAACTGTGGGACCACCGCCATTGAATCCGGTACGTCAAAAACTCATATGGGTCAAGTTTTGGCTTAATCGGGCACTCAAGGACAAAGTTAGGGGTAAAATATCGAAAAGAGGTAGGCCGCACACTATTCTCGTGTGCCCACCCTGCACCAAAATACCATTAAAGGTGGTTGTTTTCACAGTCACGGGCAGTCACTTCCGGAGTCTATATCTCACTCGTTCCAAGTCGGATCGGTCCTAAATTTACTGAGCGTATTCATCTCATCAAGACGAACGATTTGATAGGTGGTACGTACCGTGGCGATGCCCCATCAGAAAGAAAAACTAGAGAGAAGTTGCTGATCTATGAAGGCAGTTGCAGAAAATTTAGAAGCAGCATGCCTCGATCGAGCGGCCAAATCACGACGCTCGTATACCCGATCGACATGAAACCAATTGCATTATGTGCGTGAGGTCTGTGGATATCTCTGATCTGAACCTTGTGTACGATGAACGGTTGGATTTTATACCTGAAGACATCAAAGATGCTGTAAATTCCGACAGCTAGATTTCAAGATTCCGGCCAAAAACTCAAGACGACAAAATCTTCATCTAGACACAAAATCAAATTATGTAGTTGCAACATGATCGTGACGGCATGCTCAGTGTGATTCGACCAAGAAACTAAAGAAAAATATCAAAGAACGAGCACACAATCGATCCAAAGTTTTCAAGATTCATCCAAAATTCAAGTCTCATGATCATGGCTTAAAAACATAATTCATGGCTTGAAGTTGGTATCAAATCAATCGCCATACCGAACTCCACAAGAAAACAATTATCTTTCGATTAAACGGGCATCAGAACAACCTCGGATCAGTTATGGAAGATCGCGTACGTTCTCAGCAAGGACTGTTCTGTAATTTCATAATTGTTAGGCAGGGGCAAAACAATCCTTTTGCACCCATTTTTAGAATTTCTTTTAATTCAATTAAATTGAAATTATCTTCAATTCTAGGTAGTTTTCGGCTGTACACCCATGTTTTGGCCCAATTCTATATAAACAGGCAATGCCTCATTGTAAAAAGGGCTGGATTCATTTTCTTGGATCAATCAATAAAGTTCTGAATTTTGCTTAAGCTCGTGGGTACGTCTCGGAGAGAGAAAAATGAGAGAGAAGAAAATGGTCGGTACCATTCAATAAGGTAACTTTCTCTCTCCTCCCTCTTTCTCTCTCCTCTTCTTTCTTTATTCTCATCTCTCTCTTTCTCTCTCTTATTCTCATCTCTATCTCCTCTTCTTTCTTTCTTCTCATCTCTCTCTCTTCTTCTCATCTCTCTCTCTTCTCTCTCTTCTTCTCATCTTTATTTTTCTTTCTCTCTCTTCGTCTCATCTCTATCTCTCTCTCTTTTTTTCTCATCTCTATCTCTCTCTTTCTCTCTCTTCTTCTTATTTATATCTCCCTTTCTGCTTTCGGTTTAATACAGTCAGCAAAACCTAGCGCCGACTGCATCTTCTCTCTTTTTTATCTAATACAGCCGGTGAAGCTTAGTGCCTACTATATCTTCTCTCTCTTCTCTATCTAATACAGTCGGTGAAGCCTAGTGCCGACTGCATACTCTCTCTCTTCTCTATCTAATACAGTCGGTGAAGCCTAATGTGAACTTCATCTTCTCTCTCTTTTTTGTCCAATACAGTCGGTGAAGCCTAAAGCCGACCGCATCCTCTCTCTCTCTTCTCTATCTAATATAGTCAACGAACCCTAGCGTCGACTGCATCTTCTCTCTTTTCTCTGTTTAATACAATCGGTGAAGCCTAACTCCGACTACATCCTCTCTCTCTTCTCTATCTAATACAGTTAGTGAAGCCTAGCGTTGACTGTGTCTTCTCCCTCTTCTCTGTCTAATACAATCAGTGAAGCCTAGCACTGACTGCATCCTCTCTCTCTTCTCTGTCTAATATAGTTGACGAAGGCTAGCACCGACTGCATCTTTTCTCTCTTCTCCTTCCAACCCAGACGACGATGCCCAGCACTGACTGTGTCTTCTCTCTCCTCACTTCTTAAACACAACTGATGAAGCCTAGTGTCGACTGTGTCCGTCTCTCTCTTCTCTTTCCAACCCAGGCGACGATGCTTAGTGCCGACTGTGTCTCCTCACTTCTTAAACACAGCCGACGAAGGTTAGCGACGACTGTATCCATCTCTCTCCTCTTTCCAACCCAGCCGGCGATGTGTAGTATCAACTGTGTCTTTCAACCTCTTTTCTCCTTCCTTCTCTCTTCTCTCACACTATTCTCCTTCTTTCTTTCTCTTCCTCTCTTTCTTTCTCTTCTCTTTCTTATTCTCTTACTTCTTACTCTATCTTTATGACTTTCATTCTTTCTGTTATCCTTTTGTTTGATTAAGAAGGGTTGAGATTAGCCTCTTTTGATAGTCCTGTCGTCTAGCTGTAATGTTGTGGTGCCAGAATTACTGTGCCCGCTTTATTACCATGATA